CGTTACGCTCGACACGCGCAAGATATTATTAGGGGTGCCGGAAAGTCTCTTTGTATTTTAAAGCCTTAAATTTCCGTGGTTATACAGTATGGGTTCTTAATTCTAATCCAAAATCAATTTAAATTCCAGGTTAGTTAACAACATTTTTTTATTGCGTCTATCAACTTTCATTGAGATCGAGCTTACTTTGTTATTTTCATGCAAAGTTTTGTAATAAAAACGAAAAGACTTTCCGGTACCTCTAATATATACAGAGTGTCCCATTTTAACTTTCACATTAAAAAATCTCGAAAACTATGATGGATATTAAAAGAAGCTAAAACACGTTTTTCATGATTTAATAATTTAATAATTTTGAAATTTCCAAAGGTCGATGAGTTAACAAAAGTCAGGGCACTATTATAGTAATATATCCTTGATAGTAAATAAAGTAAAAAAGTCTAATACTATTTTTTCGTTCGACGAATAGCGAGATATCGTAAGTCAAATGTTGAAAAAGTTACCGAGTTTTCCTTAAATATTTCAAAAAATATTAGGCAAATAAAAAAATGTTTCAGACAAAAGTTGTTAAAATTAATTGGCAGAAAAAGAAGATATAATAAAAAATTGGGCTTTTTTTTCAAAAATTTTAAAAAATTAAGTTGACCTTCAACTGACCTTGAAAATGTCCTCCAAATAAAAACTGATAATGACATTCTCTTTCCCCTTCGAAATCATGGAACACGTGCTTTAGCTTCTTTTTAACATCTTCCATAGTTGTCGAGATTTTTCACCTGTTACGTTAGAAATTTAGCACCCTGTATATGACGTTTACATATACACCATTTGCGAAATTGGAGCAATTGATGCAACGTCTCGCCGTTAGTTGGTGTTTACTGACAACACAACAATGGCGGATCCATAGTGCTCCAGCTGCTCGTGTTCTGCCGACGGAGCCTGCTGACATAATTTGCCGGCAGAAACCGAGCAGGATCCGCGCGCGAGATCATCACGGCAGATTCTGCTGGGCTTCCGCCGTCAATCTGTCATCATACTCCGCCAGCACATCCCGCTGTATTCTCCGTTAGCAAGCTGTCGACGACACCTCCAGCAGACCCTGCGCGCAATCGGCTTCTGCAAGTTCGCTTGTCCGGGGAAGGTAACACGAGTTGCGTGCATCAGTCACATCGTCGAGCGGCAAGTTACAACTTCGATGTAACGCTACTGTTGCTTCATGTTCACCAGTCCGTTGCTGCTGATTTGCCTCGTTGTCGAGGCCCGTCGAAATGAAGAGGATCAAACACAGGATTGTCACCGCCTAACGATATTCTCGCGATCAACCCTTCGACCTGTCGCGTAGCAGAGAGGAGCTCGTTAGAAGTCGCTCTTTGAAAGCCGCTGGCACCAGCTGTCCCGCGACTGGATCTCGGCCTCTTGCACGGTTGGCGACTCTGGGTCGTGGTGAACAGATCGCCCTTCCTTCCTCTGGAGATGACACTCTCTCAGCGGGAGAACACGCTGCCGTGGATAGCGCTGCACTGCAATGGCGACCAAGGACGGGAGGAAATCGTGCGCTGCGAGAGGAAGATGATGAAACATGACAAGTATTATTTATATTGATGTAACGAGGCTTGACAGACCACTTATGCTAATTACTGCACGCTGCGCGATTAACTTTATGAAATTACCCGGCCCAGCCCCCCGACGGAATTTCAACCCGGTCAGAATAATTTTGATTAACTGGCAGAGATGGCGACTGTATTACAGGGGGAGGCGGGGGGGGAGGGGCGGGCGTTGGGAAAGGAAATTAATGCAACTTGCCTGCGAATTTTAATGTATGAAATATATCGCCGATAATGCGCGCGCGGAATATATTCATTCGGTAAAATTAACATCCGCAATACGTCGTAATTAATACGTAAATTTTAACTCGCTTTACCCCCTGAATTTGCATTTCGCTATAAATGCGCGCCGCGCCGTATTTTTGTTTAATAATAGTCTTTACGCCGATCGTCCGCTCTTATTCTCCGCTGAATCAACGCAAATTCAACGGGGAAACATCCGGACGACATAAGTAAGGCAGTTAGTGAAATTTACACAATGCGGACACGCCGCATTTATATGATGAAAATTTGAACGAGAATCGCTCGCCGAACGCGCACGAGCACGCAGAATTTGTTGGCGCGTATTCACCGCGCTCTTGTGTTCCCCCATGAGCTACATCCCTGCGTTGCCGTGCCGTTCGTACGTCCTCCAGGGACGGCGCTCAAAGGGATGACAAAGGATCGCTCGGCCCTAAGCTTCGAGGGGTGGCAACCCTACGAAGGGGAAACGGTTTCTGCGCTACCTCTGCGTCGTGCTCCATGGGGCTCGCTACGGGATGCACTGAAAAATTCAAGTCTCAGCTTCCGGCCCCGACGAAGCTTGTATCGACCGAGGCGTGGAAAAACTTTCGCAAATACAAACACGAGTCGACAATAGTTTGATATTTTAACAAATTTGCGCTTGTAAAACGGACAAATTAACATTCCGCGGAATATATACACGTCGATTCGTCGGCAGGAGCTCCACAGACGAAACAGTAAAATTTCACACACACACACACACACACACATACATATACACACACACACACACACACACGAGTGACGAAAAAGTTAGTGTTTTAACAAATACTTAGAACTTCAGCGGCCTTTATTCCGACAACTTTGCCACAAGTTCTACGTGCATAGTCTCGTTGTGGAAAGTTCTCCCAGCCGGATTTGTCGGGAATTATTTCATGTTTGAAAATTCATGCCGTCGCGCGCGACATCGGCCGATCGGCGGCCGGATCTAATCCGGATTTTTCGTTTTTCCTCTTCGGCTGTCGAAAGCCCCGTGTCCGTAATTTATTATTCATTAGTGCGGAAGCGCATATCGCGCCGCACTGTGCTACGCAGCCGCTTCGTTCTCTCTTTCGTTTCGTTTCGTTCAGTGACCCTTAAGGCCGCGGGGATCGATATGTACCGGCTATATACACGAGTCTCAATTATATAAACGGTGCACTCTCGCGCATAGCCGTACTACAATGCAGTCGCTTTGCGTGCCATTATCGGCAACAATTAGTCCGTTCATTTACGTATTCCAGCGTTGCTGGCTGACGTGTCGCGTTTAATATTCATGGCGCAAAATATTAGCGACGCTGAATAATTACACGAAAGCGCTATCGCGCTTCATTGATATCGATCACCGCATATGTATAATTCTCTGTGCGACGTCATGCGAATTGCATAATGCCGGTCGTCTGTTTAATCGTTTGACCATTCAAGCCGTCGCTCGCGCCGCGTCTATATCTTCGAGATAATATATCTTCATCGTAAGATCCGATAGAAAGCCTTTCGTCAATCAAACACCAGCAATCCAGCCATTGATACGCTCGTTACTATTACTACTGTTGTCAATTGTTCGCTTACGTCATAACATTTCATTCGAATGACCGACGTTTCGGCTTCTGCTTCATATCGCTTCTTATCGAGATGAAACAAGTGTGCAATGCGCGTGTAATCGAGCATTGTAATTGTCCACGGTAAGAGGTACATTTCAAGAGAGAAGTTAAACACGGAGAACACCGCCTCGGGATGACGAACAAACAAACAAACAAACAAACAAATAAATAAATAAATAAATAACAAAAGGAATAAATTCTTACGGGTAGAAATTGGCGGTCAGAATTTTAGCTGCCACGCTGAAAACGATGCAGCGTGAAAAGTCAACACATTTGGCAGTGGGTCGCGACACACCACTGTCCCACTGCTGTAATCTCGAGGCCGGGCGAAAGCACACAGCGGGGTGCGGTGAACGCGAGTCGCGAGTGTGCGAACGCGAGTGGAAAACGCGAAATTCAAGGATTCGATCAAGAGCCCCGTGAAGGGGCTCGAGCGTCCGCATTCTACGAAGGTAGCCGCCGCCTCTCTCGTCTCCCTGCTGCATGCACGCGTATGCACACACGTGGCGGCGTATACGACCGAAAAAGAAAATGAGAGAAAAGCGACGCGACAGCGCGCAGCAGCATGCACGCTGCACACTCACGCTCTCACGCACACACACACACGCGCGCGCGTTTACATGCATAAGTATACCATTGACCGAGATATCCTCTATCGCCTGTCTCGGGATGAATGAACCGTTACGTCATGCACTTGTACTCACTGGTCCCCTTCCGCAACCCTCCTCCTCTTTCTCCATCTCTTCCTCCTCCTGCTCCTCCGCCTCTTGTAACCCTCTCGCTCCCTCTCGTCACCTCTCCGTCTGTTTCTCTTTTAGCTGCTTGCATTACACAAGCGCAAATAGCATAACAGCAGAAGTAACGGCTTCGCTCGAAATAGACCGATTTGATCGGCCGGCGCGATTCTCTCGATGCGCGATCATCCTCTCGTCGTCTCCCTCTCGAAGAGCAGATCGCAGATGAAACTCGCAGACGGACTCGCTTTAAGGACGTTCTCGTTGCGAGCTCGTTGCGAGGTCCCGTCAAGTTCGAGCGAATGGATCTCTCGTGTGTCCTTGATCTTCCGTGGTACAAAGAAGATCCTTTGACCCTCGGTTCTCAAGCGTCCGGATTCTGAACCGTCTTGCGCTTGCGACTTCCACAGATCCAAAGCGCTTGAGCGCTTGAGTCAATTTTGTTTTTTATGCCTCGACATGCCGTGACACTCGTCAACTTGTTGATTCCTACATTCGCATTATAGATTTCCCTTGCATTCTCTCCCCCTTCCTGTCTGCCTCAAATTGAGAGACGGTGCACGCGGCGTCCAGATTGACTTACGCGCGCAGCGCACGGTCTCTTCTCCTTCCTCCTCTCGATTTTAGCGTCCTTCCATCCATCGATTAGCACGGGGAGGGAGGACCAGGCGCCAAAGTGAGATATAGGTTTATATAGTGGTCGACGTGCCGCGACGCAGCCTCAGACACTCGGCAGACGTGTCGGTCGTAAAACAGCGGGACGGTGAGGACAGCCGATGAGACGGCGGGACGAAGCGGGGAGATGGTAAGAATGATGTACTACTTTCGTTATGCTCTCATCCCATGTATTCTCACACGCAGGTGTGCGCGTCTTCGCGCGACGTTGATAAGGCTCAGCCATGCTGAATGACCGAGTCAAGGTATCTCCGAATGCAATCCAAATGCTTCGAAGATCGAAAGTAAATCCAATTTACGTCCTACTTGAATTCTCGAATTTCTCTCTCAGCTTGTGTGCAGTCACCGAGAGGTCACACGGTTCTGCAAATTGGTGTCACATTTGTATCTTTCATCGCGAGAGTAGCTGATACAGGTGGAAAACATCGTGAGATATTGTACGGTGTATAATTCTACCGTGAAGAATACACTGTACAAAGTCGAAAATAAAAATATTTCCCGCGATAGAGTGAGAGAACAAAGTGCAAACATACGTGGCTCTTGTCGCTTCGGGAGATGTTTGTCGTTCAATGTAAACACTAATTGGTCGAGCGCGTTCTATATACAATATCAATCGACAATTGTCAATATGAAGCTGTCCGCAACAACTGTTAGTCGTCGAATTCAGTTCAACAAATCCGCCAGTACCGCCGAGATGAAAAATCACTTGTATTTACAACGCGATACGTCGCGATATATCGTACACTGTCCCGTCGCCGGCACTCGGCAAGTCCTTGGCATTTCCTCGCGTCGGGGAATTAACCTTCCAGAATGGGCTCTCTGGGTTCCCTCCCGGTCTCCTTCAGATTGCGATAGAGCTTCGCCTTGAGACCATCGCTGTTGAGTCTACCGTTGAATTCGATCTTTGGGGTTTTCGGCGCGCTGCGCTCCAGCCAGATGTCCAGCAGACTCTTGCTTTTGGGCGGCTGCTTCAGAGTCGACGCGCACGTCGGCGGGGACATCGGTGAGTCCGTCGTCGCTCTGATCACATTCACCCGGCCTGCGGCTCCATCTTCTTTCCCAAACCTGCGACGAATCAATTTTTAGATATTCTCGGAAACCTACGAAAGCTCGCGGTATTCGGTAATCGTATAGTTACCCGTCGAGTTCTCGCAAGGCTTGGTCCAACTCTACTTTGTTCTTATCATCTTTACTTTTAATATCTATTAGACAGTCGAGTATTTCGGTATGCGCGGCCGAGTTGTTCGCGTGATGTCTCAGAAACGTTTCCACCTCTCCCCATAGCAGACGATACTGCTCTTCTCGTCTCACACTCTTGCCACCGCGGATTCCGCCGATATTCGGCAACGGTAATGCCTCATGCTTCGCTTCTAGTTGGAGCAAACTGAACAGTATCTGCTTGCACTGCAGCACTTCTTCCGTAGTGAGCTTTTCCTTTACCATAAGTTCCGGCAGCGGATCTATCACCTACAAGCAACGACATTTTTGTTACGCCGGAAAGAACGCACGAAAAACGCAGCGCGCTCAACTGCTCTTAAACGTATAACTTATTCATATAATTTAACTTACGACATACTTTACTTATGTGACATATTTTTTTGTATAACCAATCTATATAATTCAACTAAATTTATATTTAATTGTATAATTCACAATTAAATTGATTAAATACAAACCGTCTTTACGTTGAACAGGAGGGTACTGGAGATGGCGATAGGCCAGTATTTCGTGTAGCGTTCTAGTCTGGACCTCATCTTCTCCACCGGACCGTCGCTATTGTCATTGGCAATGCGTTTCAGTGGCACTAATATATTATTTCGCATGAGATTTCCGAAATCCTGCGACAAAGGAATGTTATCGAGATAAAACATCTGCGTAACACCGAGAGAAAAGACGGCAATCGATTTTAATAGATCTCCTTCGAACGAAGTAACTTTTGGAATTTTCCAATGAGTAATAATGAAGTATAATTACGAAAAGCATCCTACGGTTATTCTGTAATCGGTCACGCGACCGCCGCAACCTTCACTTATGGAAGGCGGATCTTCAAGTACACTTCTAGCGGTGGACAGAGTGTGTATAAAGATTTCGCCCCCGTGTGCTGCTAACAAGTGAGAGATGGTCTTTCCACCAGTCTTTCTGGCCATTTCAAGCATCACTGATCTGCCATTTAGAAGGAAATTGATCAGACACGAAGATGGTCTGCTGTTAACGTCCACGGGTGTTATCCGGTGCATCGCTGTGCAATTTTGCATCTCCGATGCACTGCAGCCGCGCGGTGTGCACCACTTGAGTGTTACAGTCTCGTACTCCGAGCCTTCTTCGAAACGTCTGAAAGTTTTTATTAGCGCCGAGTCTTGCGGGTTTCCTACGGCAAAAACAGTTGTAATTCCATTATCGCGTACATAACGCTTACAATTTCAAAATTATCATTTGTTATTGATATATCATTTATTTATTATTAATACCAGTAATATCAGTTATAAATCATTATTTACTTATTCGTTATTAATCATCAAACATTTACTTTTTTTTTCTCAAATAATAAAAATCTGAAAAGTACCTCTTAATATAACAGCGTGCGCAGCGGAAGAATGAAATATTTCAACGTCGTAATTGGCAGATGAGCTGGCATTTTGTTCTTCCTTCATAGGTATACCAGTCACCGTGGTACTGGCTAGATCATAATGAGACAAAATAAGATGCGATAACTTGGAGTAAAGAGCCGAAGCTTTGATCGAATGCACTTCCACTGTTAATAACGGTGAGATCTGCGTGAGAAAAATTATTCTTAAAAACATCAATCCCGTTGTACAATTTTTTTATATGTATACTGAGTAAGATCGGATAATTGATTCGGTTGATTAATGACATACCTCTCGTGGACCTTGACTAGTGACTTGTGGTTCGATATTATTGGGAAATATATTTAGTATAACCAAGTGACAATAATCAATGGGTATCAAACTGCAAACAGAAAAGTGATATTATGAAAAGCATAATATTTTAACAAAATAACTATGTAAATACTAACTGGTCCGAAGCTAATGCAGTCTTATTTTCCTGCGTTAATTCATTTAGAAATATATTTTCCAAACTCTTCATATTACTATCGTCACGTGCACTCGTGATACATATAACTCTGCCCCTGTTTATTAGATTATTAGTGTTTTCATTTAAAGATGTTCTTTTCTCATGTTGTATATCAGAACACTCATTCAGAGTCCCAATTGCCACACGTAAGCCATGTACTACTGAATAGTCTTCTCCAGGTTCTGGTGTCTTTGTCGGCACTCCCAAGATTGCAGTGCCATTCATTATCTGTACAACAAAAAGTAGGATTCATTTTCTCATTATGGAACATAGATACTTGTTATATATGGAACAATAAATATTTGTTTGAAGAATTATATGTTTGTTGTAGCTACATTTACAATCAATAATTTCTGCTTTTGATTGTTACATACTGATTAAATTTAACAAGGAATTTAACAAGATACTTGCATGATTCAAGTTCTGCTGGGACGGGCTCCATGAGTTTAGTACATAGGCAGCACGGTCTGTCACCACAAACCTAATCTAAGAGATAATAAGAATAACAATGATAGTAATACTGATAATGGTAAAATTGTAATACTAATAATAGTAAAGTTTATCTTTGCATACCAATTTGCCCATGGGAAACAGGTCCCATACAATACGGCAATACTCCAATGAGGCCTCAACACTAGTAGTCCATAGCGATTTGCAAATTGGTGCTAATGGAATCAGATTTTGGCCTCTGCCCTTTAGAAAATCAAATTCTAACGGACACTCTGTAGAAATTCCAAAGTACGGGGTATGATCCAACACAAATACAGTCTTGTGATTAGCGGGATACATCTTGCTTGTCGTTGTTACTACTACTGTTATTGTTGTTATTATTTAATCTATATTAAACAAATATGTTTTCACAAGACGAATGTACAAATTATTTATCCTTTTATGTCCAAATCTTGTTTGTAGTTTTAAGTGCTTTCGACTGGATCCAGTTTATTCTGCCATTCAACACACCTCATGGTAAAATTTTGAATATATATTGAGGTTAGATCAAAAACGGCCACATCTCGTGACATTCGCACAGTAATATGGATCTTATTACTTTGAATTTTAATTTTATTAAAATGCTCACGTTATAAAACTATTAATATCTATTTTATTCCAACGATATATATAACATATTAAACATTGAAACGTTGAGAACCATTGTTCACAACTACCGAGTAGATAATAAACACACGTATTACCGACAACGCATCACTGCATAGTGTTGTTAAAATGTTCTTTTGCACATGCGCGTCAACATACCAGAAAGTATGTTATATATGTATAAAAAATAGACGTTATCCCAGTAAGACATTGCAAGGAAAATAGTTAAAAGAAAAATGACGCGTCATACAGTTATCGACCAAATTTATATAAGCAATATAAATAAAAGTTTCTACCAGAGAAATGTGTATATCAAAGAAATATAATTAATATTATTATATCTTAATATCTTTTTAAATAACTGTAACAAAATAAACTGTTCTTTCCAATATATATATATTTTTTTAAATTGTACAAAATTTTTATTATTGCCATTAATATAATAAATATCAGATAAAGAAGTCCTTTTTAATATTTAATTATATATATATATATATATATTATGCACATTATATAGAGATGATTAATTTTACATTTATATACTATAAAGAATTTCTCTACAAAATACACAACAATTTAACAGATTATACTACTTGCACCAATGCATTGAGTTCTTCTTCTCCTGGACATAATATTGCGTCAATATTATAAAAAGCAGCATGAAGAGTTATCAAAAACCAAGAAACACCTAAAAAGAAATTTCATAATTTATTTTTTGTATTATTTATAAGAAGCCCCTGAGTATATACATATCAATCACAAATAATATTATATTCAAATAAATTTATAACATCCTGTGAATTTGTATGCATACACACATTTGTACTTTTGGATTTTAGAAGGGATTATCATGTGTTATATATTTCACATTTATTTTTTTTTTCAAATGTCCTCATACTATTAATTATTCCAATAAATAATCAAGTGAGGTAAATGTATATATTTAAATAATGTTTCACTTACCAAGTACCCAAAATACAGCAGCATGTGCACCAACCAAATAAAATACAGGTAATGAACAAATTCCAACCAAGGAATATATCTGTGCTAGAGTCAATTTTATATTTAATATCATTAATTCTTGTTTAGAATGCCGTTGAGAGACTTTATAACATATCCCAAGAGATGCAACAACAGCGAGTAATAACAGAGGCGAAGTTATCCTGAAAAATTAGACATTAGATATTATCATAAAGATTATTAATATAAAATGATAAAAAAATAATATAAAAAATATAATCATATTGAAGTTAAAAAAAAGCAAACTTTTGAGCTATATAAAGATCAAACTGGAAAATCTTTATAAAAGATATATAATTTACATAAAAGGAGATATATGTATATTAATAAAACATATCCCTTACAAGCAATAGATAACTAGTCCAACAAATACAAACAGATAATTGCTTTGAAAATATTCAATGTTCTTCACAATTCGTTTACTCAGTCTTGTTATATTAGGAGGTGGTCTAATATTGTTTGTATTGAGAAACAACGACCACGGTCGAATATTTGCCTTTCTATGTTCAATCCAGTTCTGTGCCTGAGGGTAACCTATTTGCTCAAGTGGTAGTTGAGGTAGTTGAAGAAATTCAAATCTGTAAATACAAAAATTAATTAGCGCGCATAATTTAATAATCAATCCTACAACACAATCATCTCTCCATACTGTTCTATACATCCTGTATTCTGTTACATCATTTGTTATTAAATTTGCATATTGTGACGTTTGGTTAGAGGTTAGAGGTTAGCTAATGGGACAAAAACTTTGGAAAACATAGCAGAAGCATTTAATCGTTACCCGTTCGTAGCTTTATATTTTTGCTGTGGGATTTGCATCTCCCCCATCGGGACTTCCACGTCCACCATGATTTCTTAAAGAGATTGCAGATATCTTGTGAGTCACTCGCTTAAAATCTCTCTCACGAAATTTTCAACACCAACATAAAGCAGGACAATAGTTGGCAGATAAATTTCTCTTTTTTTATTCTTTTTCTCTTTCTCTCTCTCTCTCTCTCTCTCTCTCTCTCTCTTTCTCTTTCTCAATCCTAGCAAACGTCACACTGATCTGACCGATTAATCGATGTTCGATTCTCGTGTTTTAGAAAATCGATTGTTCTTTCGATATTTTCCAAATTTGACTATTCGACAGCTTTCTTCATTTCGATGTTACTAGATTGTATCATTGGCCGCGTTCAGCAGACTCAACAGTTGGACAACATTACTAGATTTTCCACTGAATCTCGCTCCTGATAAATATTTCTGGGTCTATGAAGAATCTAAAAGAATGCTCCAATCACAGACAATAATCACACATAGCGCTCTCTGATCACTTTGTTCTACTGAACGCGGCCATTGGCTGCGTTCCGATATTCACTGCCAGTATTGAAAATATATACTTTATGTCACATATATTATAGATTTTCAGTACTGGCAGTGAATATCGGAACGCAGCCATTATGGGGGTCGGACTCAGCTAGGATGTTTCTGGAAACAAGTTTAGCTGTTAAATTTTAAAAGGACAAGAAGTAGAGCAATTAATGCAATCTAAAAGTCTTTAAAGGCCGATCGCCCATGCACCAACAGTTGATTTATCACAAGGAGCAACAAGATCTCAAGTAGAACATAAAATTATGATGACATCGAACTGACGAGAAAATGACCGAATTATGATGAAACTAATTTTTTTCGTCATTTCGATGTCATCATGATTTTCTGTTCTGCCTGGGATAAAGCAGCACCAGTAATTTTCTACGTTGCCAAAGGTGACTCTTTCATCAAGCTTAATTTAATTTAGGCTTCTTTCAGGGAACGAGCTATTAGCGCATTCTATCTTTGTTATACATATAATGAGTGATAAAGATAAAATGATGCTTTAGCTATAAGTGCTGATAGCGCGCTCGTCGAACGCAGCCTTAACCGACGATTAACCGGCAAAGTAATCAACTGTAATTGCTGTTGAGGAAGAAATTGAGAAATAGAAGAGGGGTTCAAAATTGCTGGCCGAGGTTGACCTTTTCACCGACAATAGCCAAATCTATTTTCAAACACACTTGAACCGATCCTAAAAGACGTTAATGATTCTGTACGTACGAGAAGTCCAGTACGACGTGTTTCATCCTGATTTTGCGGGAAATTAAGCTGACAAAAAATCTCATACAAGTATAAGCAAGCTTTTTCTTCCCGCAACAATTCGCGAAGTCGCAACGGACTCTGGGAAGGGAGACGCGAATTTTGAAAAATCCCACGTGGAGCGTTCTGTCAGTGGAGCAACCGTGCGAACAAAGTATAGGAGAAGATGGCGCTCTTGTGCGCACAGTAGCCACTAACACACTGCAAGGCGCGTATGAGCCGACCAATCGGTGTCGCGTTACATGCCGGTCTTCGGCGAATTGTTTGTAAGACGCGCGCCGATTGGCCGCTACGATCGGCCATGATCTCGACGCGCTTCGCACGCCATAACGAACGTGAGCCGTGCGGCGTGCCAAGGATATTGCTTTGGAGTGCTTAACGCGTCTGATGGTGTGATATTCGTCGGAGCTTCGGTAATCCGTTTTTCACGTGCATCTCGTGCCCCCGCCTCATCGGGTGGCCTTCACGGGTTTGTGTTGTCCTCGTAGCTGGTAATATCCGTCGTTCCGCGATATTGCAACTCTTGACACACTACATCGTGCGTGTGCGTGCGTCGTGCGATTAACACGACGCGGTGATCCGCGCGACGTTCCGATGGACGACGAACCGAAGCATTTCGAGGCGGGTAACATGCCTCAGGACGAGGAACTGAACATCAGCTGTCGCACCAACAGCTCCGGCTGCGACGTCGACGGCGATCTCTTGGATACCTCCGTGGAGGACTTCGGCTCGCCGCCGCCGTTGCAGCCGCGTAAGCTCTCCTTCAACAGCATGGACTGCAACGACAGTCCGGAGAGCGCTCAGAGGGCCAACAATAACAACAAGATCCCGCAGTCTGTCGTTACAGGTTAAAAGTCCTTGCTTTCTTTGCATGTTACACAACGCCTCGACCCCGTTCTCGCGCGATATATCGCCGCAACTGTGGCCTGACGTGAATGGCTTCGTGTGCTTTGCGTTGTGTCTGTCTGCGAATTCTTTTACGTGTTGCGCACGAGACGAGACGGATTGAGATGATGCCACACACACACACACACACACACACACACGCACGCACACTCAATCAGATATATTTCCCAACATATTATGCTGTACTTTCTATTTTTCAAGTGGAACAAGTATAAATTCGAAATTCGAATTTTGTTATTAAAATGCGATGTACGTTAAATTAAATGTCTTCCCGATTTTCTGTAACGATAAACAAGAATTTGAAATTATTGCGTAGAAAGTAGATATTTCATATCGTAATATTAATTAAAGAAAATTTGGGGATGATTTTATTGTTTGAATTATGTTGCACATGTGTCTTGCACAAGAGATCTTTTGTTGGAAAATTTCCAAGAATAAGTTGCTTTGGTAATTTTATTGTATATGTTTGTTGGTTTTCTGTTTTCTGATTTCTATTATTGATACATCAAGCACAGATTTTATGCTTGAATGCAATGCATAATGAACAATGGTAAATAGTGCACGATATGCGAAGATAATTGATATTGATGTACTTAGACAATTTCTTTGCATTATATATGTAATAATTTTTTTTTAGCTCTTAAGATAATTTCTGAAAGAATGATTGTATATTGAATGGTGTCTTGATTACAATCATTTTTCAGATTGCATTATGGTCTCAGTAATTATAAATTTTCTGCATCTGGGATGATAAATTTATAAATATATATACACAGGATATATGGATGTAAATGTAGGAACATTCGTATGCAAGTAGATTCCATTAAATTGGACAAAAGGGCTTCTTACCGTTTTGCGAATAATCACGATAATTATATATCGAAATATTGGTTAAGGAAAATTGGCGAATTACGCGACGTACGATGAATTTTGCAATCTAAAGAAATATATGTCTTGAGCTTGTTAATTTAGCTTTTAGCAGAAATAGTAATTCATTGATAAACTGTACACGTGCGTCGTCACACATACATGTGTAATCTAGGCTACACTTAAATCCGCCATTGTCAGGAGATCAGAAAACAAACTGGAAACATACTTTGGACCATCTTGCAAAGGTCCACATGATATTTCTCAATAATTATTCTTTGTAAAATGGTAGAAGATTTTTTCTCTAGTTTGATGAGTTTTACTTGCACACTAGCATTGCTATATTCAAGTCTGAATGTCCCGTATATATATTTATATTTATAAAATAAATGCAAAATAAATGCAATTTTATATGACAGTAACGGCACTTTATATGAAAGTAACTAACATGGGTAATAAATAGCATAGTTTGTTTCGGTTGTTCTAAAGAAAATACAACAAAAATGTAATAAGTAATAGTCGCGTATGTATATGATTTTTGCATGGTAAACGAGGACGTTTCAGTTGATTGTAAGGCACCTTTATATAACAGTCGGAAGATATTTGCAACTGGTTAATTTTCTAATTGCAGGTACTGCAAGCATTAGGATTCCTGTTCGTGAAAACAACTCTTCTCAACAGATGACGTCTAGTCCACCTTACAAGCGTGTTCGGGCGTTACGTTTATACGATTCACCTTTGACACCGAAGACTCTAATGGAGAAGAGCGTGATTCAAACTCCACTTCCTTCCAAATGTAATAGGCTGTTTTCTCTAGAGAAACCAAGGATATGTAGTTACCCAAATAAGTCTGAGAAGCCCGCCGCGAATGTAAATCCATTTACACCTAATGGTATGTTACTAGCGGCAAGGAAAAGGACCAGATCAAAACGTAGTCTCAATAGGTAAGTGCTTTATTCAGTAAGTACTTTACTTTTATATCGTGTATTATCGCCTTTCAGCATAATGTGGCAAGAAAGAGCATTTTATCGATAAAAATTTAATAACACGCTGATATTTACGTATCAAAGTTGAATAACGAACTTTCTTTATCCCTCGCTATTTAATGGCCCGAAATGTACAAAACTTGGTTAAAATAAAAAACTGATTTCTTCTTTCAGCATTATACTATACATTTTGATGTTTGTAAATGTTTGAATAAATCTGTATAATTGGCAAAATTTATTTATAAGAAATATACGCGAAGTTTAAACTCTTGAACATACTCAAAAAAATGCAAAAATTATGGTCAACATTTTTCTATACTACTGGGGGGTATAGTTACTGAAGTAAACAAACTTTAAAAAATAACAAATTAAATTTCTCAACGAATGAATGTATAGGAGGGGCAGAACCCTTTTTCTCTTCACTCTTTTTGCACTCCTTTAGAGTTCTTACTATTCTTTCTTATTCTTCTTAGAGTTCTTATTAGAGTTATGTGTATTGTAAAAGAAATTGTATCTTTTCATTTGACGTTTGTTAATATATTTATAGTAATCAATGTATGAACGACGATTATAAAACGATTTTAGAATATCTTTGGAAAGTTACTCATTTCGTCATTTGACCAGAGTTCTTTCCTTCAGAAGTTTAACCTGACACCAATAAGATAAAAAGAAAATAAACGATAATGTTTTTTTCAACTTAACGTTACTTTTTTTTTTGTGGGACCAGTTTATCGGAAATAGAAATACCAAAGTTCGATCTCGCCGACTCCGAAGATTCCGACAACGACATCGAACAAGTGACGAAGCGCATGGCGTTGCAGGACTCTAATATAACCCGCTACCACCAAGAGTTCCATGAGCTTGGCCTGATCGGCTCCGGCGAATTCGGCTCAGTTTACAAATGCATCAATCGATTGGATGGCTGCACGTACGCCATCAAGAAGAGCATCAAGCCGGTCGCAGGCAGTATCAACGAGAAGAACGCGTTGAACGAGGTCTACGCGCATGCCGTACTCGGGAAGCACCAGCACGTGGTGCGCTACTACTCCGCTTGGGCGGAGGACAATCACATGATCATCCAGAACGAGTATTGCAACGGCGGCAGCCTGGCGGACGTGATTGCCCGTTTGCAGACGCAGAAGACGCACCTGTCCGAACCGGAGCTACGCCAGCTACTGCTTCACATAGCCGAGGGTCTGCGATATATCCACAGCATGCAACTAGTGCACATGGACATCAAGCCGGGCAACATTTTCATCTCCAAGGAGAAGCGGTTGCTGGCCCTCAACTACGACTCCGCCGACGACGGCTTCGACGAGGAGGAGACCGTCGAGGAGGAGATCACCTACAAGATCGGCGATCTCGGCCACGTAACGTCTATCAATAATCCGCAAGTGGAGGAGGGTGATTGCCGTTATCTGCCAACAGAGATTCTTCGCGAGGACTTCAGTCACCTGTCGAAGGCCGACATCTTCGCCCTAGGACTGACTGTCTACGAGGCAGGCGGCGGCGGGCCATTGCCGAAGAATGGAGCTGCCTGGCACGAAATCAGAGAGGGATATTTGCAGGAGTTACCGCATTATAGTCACGATTTTAACGGCTTGTTAAAGGTATGACCTTGTTCACCAAAACTACCGCCTTTCCTCCTTAAATGTTCGTCGATAAATCTTTTTACGATGAGATGTAGTAGTAGTTAGTAGAATCGAATGATGGCCTGAGGTCATTTTCATTACAGTTGATAAGTAATTTTCGTCCTTATTAAAGATTGGCGTTACCGCTTACCTTCCTCTTGTCCTTGATAGGGCAATCTCTTTTTAGTCTTTCGTGGTTCGAATTGTTTTCGACTGAGGAATGTCGGACTAAAAATAAGCTATTTAAAGTACAGTTTAATGCTGTCGATAAATTGTGATTCGTTTAAGTAAGAAATTGCTCATTTGTCAAAATATTTTATTATGTTCGTAGCAGCACAATTAAGTGTTGAAAAGAAAAGCAAGTGAAATGCATGAAATAACTTTCTCACTTTGTGTGATCAGACGATTTGTGTTTTGTTTGCCCGTGTCGTTGTGAAATTCCAGTACCATTAGTTTTCCGTTATTTGCAGCTGATGATTCATTCCAATCCAGAAATGAGACCGTCAGCGATATCGCTGATACAACACCGAGTTTTGTGCCCACTCGGCAATAAGACCAAAGCACAACTACGAAGAGAATTGAACGCGGAGAAAGTGAAAAACGAGATTCTGTCGAAGCAGCTCCAGCAAGCGGCAAAATGTCTGAAAACTCTGGCGCCTAATGTTACCGCCATTAGCAACATAATGAATGCCGGGGGTTACAAGTTGCGGCCGACACCCACCAGAACGTCATCCCGCATTGTAGGCAAAAAGGTCAATCGTAGTAATGTAAAACCAAAATAAAAAAAACCTTATCAATAATTTAAAGAATCAACATCCCTATAACTTACACATATAACAAGAAAACTTCAAGAAATAATTAATCATAAAGTCCGTTGCAAAATGGGTCTTAATATTCACTTCAGTAACAATATTATATTATGTAATTTGCGATCACTTTGTTGCGGGAATAGAAAGTTTAACGATGACAAAAAATAGTAAAATATAGTGTAACGTAAAAAAAAAATGAGAAGTATCCACCTGTCGCATATAATTATATATCTTTTTCTCATGTAATGCAGAATTGATTCTTCATAGTATTTATCAGCATTTATTTAGGCTGATGTGTACGATTGTTGTGTTATTTTTACCAGTTGAGACTACAAAATGATTTTATCGAATTATTGATATAACTGATATAATACATAATATCTAGCTGATTTGAAAAGATTATAATTTGCATTCCCAAAATTGAGTAGAGTAACAAGTGATTTATAAAATTATAAGTGACCTCAGCATGACATTTCAATGTAAAAAAAAAGAAAAACATTTTAAGTGTACTCTTGTATTTTAATAGCTTAAAATTACTACTTAGCATGAATTCTAGAGTTTGTATTCCACAAGATAGACCAAACAAAATATTACAAGCTAATTTCTTAGAAGTGCATTATTAGAAAAAAAAATATTTCAGACAAAAGTCGTAGAATTTCGCGGGAGACATGAGATAGTAATATTATTATGATATTAAAATATTTTTTTCAAAATTATTTCAGGAAACATCTTCAACTTTTTAAATAGAGATTATATAATCTTTGTGACGTAAGTCGTTTTGTCATCCCGCATATGAAGGCTATATGATTTTGTTCAAAAGACAAACATTTTTTAATAATATAGTTCTTTCAGGATATTAGTCTGTAACACCTTGTTTGACCCATTTTTTGCGTATTTAACATCATATCGGTACTTTATATATATATATTTACAATAATCTCCAACGTATGTGTACAATGAACCTATGATTTTTTAGTTTGCTCAGCACTTAGATAGGTGTCATAATTGCTACTAAAAACGTAAATGGAAAGATAATGAAACTAAAAGTCTGTTCTGCTAATTTTGAAGATGTGCTATTATTTTCTCTCAAATTTACTGTTGTACATGTTACAAATCTTTTTTACACATAAATTTCCAACTTTATATGCGACAGGTGGATACTTCTCATATTTTTTTTATATTACACTATATTTTACTATTTTTTGTCATCGTTAAACTTTCTATTCCAGAAACAGAATCAATATAATTGAAATCGCTCAAACATGTATAATCAATTTCTTTCCATTACATAGAAAATTGTAAAATACGTATGAGTTAATAGAGAAATTTTGTTTATATTATATCACTTATGTAACTGATATGAATATGCATGACATAGCAATGGAAGACTATTAATTTTGCAAAGAGCTGGTAATATAATAAGAAAAGGCACAGTGCTATTACTAAGCACTACAAATTTTTGAGAGATATGCTATATTGAACTTATGGTAAGCAGGAGAGAGGAGGGGGAGAGTGTGTGGAAGAGAGAATGAGAGGGTGCGAGGGAGGGAAGGAGCATGATAAACTTAACCAAGAAAGATAAAGCTACAGGTTGCTACATAGTTGCGGTATTCAGGCACCACGAGTAGAATTTCCTGACATGCCTCGATATTGTGATACATGATCCTAATTTTCTTTAATAGGTTGTAAGTATGATTCAATAAAATGACATGATACAAATGATGTTATGTATAGATGGGATAAGTAAAAGTGAGTAAAAAATTGCATATAAATGAATTTAGACGATTATTGCGACACAATATTTTTGCACGTGTTCCTTACGAAATTCAGCCGACACACATATACACACACACGTTCACACTACGCAACTATTTTTTGAAGTATATTTATTATGTTATGATTATTTGAAATTGATTCGATGCTTATGGTATAAGACTTGGTAGATATTTTTTTTTCTTTTACAAAAATTGCTGATTTATTATTATATGCTCATGCCCCGTTTTTTTCTTTTTTATACTTTATGACAATATCAGGAATTGCATTATAAGGACAACTTTTAGACGTCACGTTTACTGTCGTTTCCTCGTTGTTTACTTGTGTTAATAATGTTACAGATATGCATGAAGAAATATTTGAAAAGCAATAGGATCATCGCGCATCTTATCTATAAACATTAAACGGCTCATTGTCAAAGTGCAAATAGCAAGAAGGAGACAATAGACGTGATATTCAATAATTATCTGTAATTATAAGCAATGCTTACAATAACAACGAAATCCTTTTTCTTTTCTTTTCCTTTCCCTTTCCTTCTCTTCCTTTCCGTTCCCTTCCTTTTTTTTTCCTTCCTTTTTGCTTTATACAAATGGCAATGTACAACTAGGCAGATACGTTCTAGTTGCATTCCCTAGACTTTCTGTTTCTAATTGTAATTTCTTTTTCAATCGATGCAACATTATGTAAACTATCTTATACCCGAAAGCAAGAGTTTTATTGTGTATGAACATAACAAGCCTGATTCTTGAGTACATGTTCCCCAGTTGATATTAATTTCTTATTTCTCTCAATGTACTACCAAGAAAAAAGAAAATTTAAAAAGGAAAACGTAATCTTGTTCTTAAGATGATATAATTTAAGAATTGATCGCGAAACTTCATCTTGACGAATATTTTTTTATTGCAATATTTTTTTATAGAATGCGTTATTTATTATCTAGCTATTCATTGGTACTGTGCCTTTTCTTATTATATTACCAGCTCTTTGCAAAATTAATAGTCTTCCATTGCAATGTCATGCATATTCATATCATTTATGTAAGTGATACAACCGATGCATTACATGAGAAAAAATATATAATTGAAATCGCTCAAATATGTATAATAAATTTCTTTTCATTAAATAGAAAATTGTAAAATACGTATGAGTTAATGGAGAAATTTTGTTTATATTATATCTCTTATGTAATTAATCTTATGGAATATGCATGACATTGCAATGGAAGACTATTAATTTTGCAAAGAGCTGGTAATATAATAAGAAAAGGCACAGTACCAATGAATAGCTAGATAATAAATAACGCATTCTATAAAAAAATATTGCAATAAAAAAATATATTCGTCAAGATGAAGTTTCGCGATCAATTCTTAAATTATATCATCTTAAGAACAAGGTTACGTTTTCCTTTTTAAATTTTCTTTTTTCTTGGTAGTACATTGAGAGAAATAAGAAATTAATATCAACTGGGGAACATGTACTCAAGAATCAGGCTTGTTATGTTCATACACAATAAAACTCTTGCTTTCGGGTATAAGATAGTTTACATAATGTTGCATCGATTGAAAAAGAAATTACAATTAGAAACAGAAAGTCTAGGGAATGCAATTAGAACATATCTGCCTAGTTGTACATTGCCATCTGTATAAAGCAAAAAGGAAGGAAAAAAAAAGGAAGGGAACGGAAAGAAAGAGAAGGGAAGGGAAGGAAAGGAAAAGAAAAGAAAAGAAAAAGGATTTCGTTGTTATTGTAAGCATTGCTTATAATTACAGATAATTATTGAATATCACATCTATTGTCTCCTTCTTGCTATTTGCACTTTAACAATGAGCCGCTTGATGTTTATAGATAAGATGCGCGATGATCCTATTGCTTTTCAAATATTTCTTCATGCATATCTGTAACATTATTAACACAAGTAAACAACGAGGAAACGACAGTAAACGTGACGTCTAAAAGTTGTCCTTATAATGCAATTCCTGATATTGTCATAAAGTATAAAAAAGAAAAAAAAAACGGGGCATGAGCATATAATAATAAATCAGCAATTTTTGTAAAAGAAAAAAAAATATCTACCAAGTCTTATACCATAAGCATCGAATCAATTTCAAATAATCATAACATAATAAATATATTTCAAAAAATAGTTGCGTAGTGTGAACGTGTGTGTGTATATGTGTGTCGGCTGAATTTCGTAAGGAACACGTGCAAAAATATTGTGTCGCAATAATCGTCTAAATTCATTTATATGCAATTTTTTACTCACTTTTACTTATCCCATCTATACATAACATCATTTGTATCATGTCGTTTTATTGAATCATACTTACAACCTATTAAAGAAAATTAGGATCATATATCACAATATCGAGGCATGTCAGGAAATTCTACTCGTGATGCCTGAATACCGCAACTATGTAGCAACCTGTAGCTTTATCTTTCTTGTTAAGTTTAAGTTTATCATGCTCCTTCCCTCCCTCGCACCCTCTCATTCTCATTCTCTCTTCCACACACTCTCCCCCTCCTCTCTCCTGCTTACCATAAGTTCAATATAGCATATCTCTCAAAAATTTGTAGTGCTTAGTAATAGCACTGTGCCTTTTCTTATTATATTACCAGCTCTTTGCAAAATTAATAGTCTTCCATTGCAATGTCATGCATATTCATATCAGTTAAATAAGTGATATAATATAAACAAAATTTCTCCATTAACTCATACGTATTTTACAATTTTCTATTTAATGAAAAAAAATTGATTATACATATTTGAGCGATTTCAATTATATATCTTTTTCTCATGTAATGCAGAATTACTTCTTCAGAATTGATTCTTCATAGTATTTATCAGTATTTATGTAGGCTAATGTGTACAATTGTTGTGTTATTTTTACCAGGTTTTATTTTTTAATTTGTATTGAGTTCTGTTAGTGGAACATACAAATTATTTCAAGTGTGTTTCATGTTGTCGATTATAATTATATAATTGTCCAATATAATTAGGTAATAGATCTGATGAATAATGTTTTGCATGTAGTCTGTATGTATGAAGTCTTAATGAGATAGCCAATAACACACAGAATTCTGTTTATTTGCCAATAAACAAAAAACGTGAAAATGAGATGTGCTAAATTTTATACTCGCTTATCGGAAATAGACAAAATGTAAAGTTAATACATAAAGCTTGCGTATGATTACATTTCAAGACTTGGACGGCGCATTTAGTTTTAAGATATATACCAGAACCATAATATCTTGTATGAAAATATGTTAATAACTTGAAGGACCTTCTATTCTTCCTACTAAAATATATGTCAAGAAACAAGGTTGGAGGAATTAGCATAAATGTGTGCTTGTTTGCTATGTTTCTTCAGCAGACTGTAAACTGTATGATTCTATATTCTAATAACTAATATTATTGTCACAATTCATTACTATTATTACATTATTATCTATATTATATCTATATTATTACTATATTATTATCAGCATCTAGTTATTATTACAAATCCACGATTATTATTATAAATAATAAACTGTTACGATTATTTCCAGTTTTTTAAATTTCTTTCATATGTGATTATCAGTTAATTTCAGTTTTTTGCATTTGTATCGTCTTCAACTTCCTTTTTATATCTGGGCTTGTAATGAAATGAGAATAACAACAAGAATGGTAATGAGAAGACTATTAGATATTATCGGTTCTTTTTTTAGTAACAGTTACTTTTTGCATATGAACAATATCTGAGCTATTTAACCGACTGCGTTAGAAAGTGAATGTGATGGGCGCCGAAGTTTTATGCGCAGTTCTTCAGAGGGCGCGTGGGAAAAACCGTTTCCAAAAACCTCTTATAGAGTAATCGCACTTATCATTCTTCTCTTTAGTGATACCAACAATTCAAACTTCGAATTTCTGTTAACTCTATGGAGACCAGCATGGGCGAGAAATTATATTCGAGTTATTTTGAGAGTCTGCAGAATAAAGCGTACAAAATCGATAATGGCATCGACAGATTGTCTGAGATTTGGAAAACGCCACACCTGTTGATTGGTGGCTACGGAGAGCGTCCTGTCGAGATGGATACATATCTGGAGGAATTGTGGAAGTCTATTCGTGATACTAACGTAAGTGTCACAAGAAATATGTGAATGTACAGCATGAAGTATATAGTTATCACATATTTTGATGACAATATACTCACTCAACATCTTTTAATATGTAAAACAATGTCAAATGCCAAAAAAGTTGAATAAATAATGTAAAAAGGATAATAAAATTCTTAAATATGCATTTAACTATATGAATTATGTAATTAATTACAACAGGATGCAATAGAGAAATCTAGGAAGAAGTTGGAACTGTCATTGGAAAAGACGGATCAGTTCTTAAGTGAAGCTCAAGCATCCTTTGAGGATTTGAAGACAAAGTCTGACAACATAGATATTGTTCTTGCTGAGTATGGTTATAATTATGAAGAATATAAAGATATGTCAGAAAGTGATCATAGGTAAGATTTTATTTATTAAACATCTTAATGATTTAATTTCTATATGATCTCTCGTCATTTTTCTTATTTGGCTACCTATTTCAGTTAGATTTTGTATATTATGTTATTTATTATACTTACTCCATTTTACAAAAATAAACTTTTATTGCTATTGTATGATAGATGTTAAGAAAATTTTTTAGATTGTTGTCCTAGTTTATATATAAATGAGATAGTTAATTTTATATCTTTTAGAAATTTTAACAAAAACTGTACAGATGAAGATATTTTATACACTAAAGAAGTGGAAGTTGAGTTTACACCAAATTTGACATGGAAGTGTAAAGCTAAAGTTAAAGAATCAGACATTTCCATTTCAAACCAGGAAAAACCAACCGTCAAATGTATCGCTACTCCTGTAATTAAGAGTCTAGCATCAGTTTTCCACTCAGAAAATCATAAAGCAAAAGATTAATTAAAGAATGTTACACCAGCATAAGAATCAAGAAACATGAAATATGAAGCAAGAAACATGAAACATCACTCAAAAATACTAAGAAAATAATTTAAAATTCTGACATATTTTCAAATTTGTATTTATGATACTAGAGAGAAAGGTAATATGTATATATATTTGTTTATAATGATATAGTTTATGATGAGTACACATAAGCATTTATTTGTAAAATAAAAAAGATGTTATTGGAATTATGATTATATATGTAATGACATAAATGTATCATAATAAAGGAAATATAAAGAATCAAGAAAAAAAATTAGTTTGTTTCATTTTTAATTGATCGTGAAATAATATAATGCTAAATAGATTTAATTATTTCCTTTTATTTATCTGTATTTAATCAGATCATATAATTGAGATCTTAAATTCATCTTCAAGTGCTATATAGATTATTTGGTTGGTTACAGATTGTCCTGAGATAAATTTCTGATGATGATTTTAAATGTAAAATCTGACCGAAAATCAGCGAATGTTTCTATAAGTATGGAACCATGTTTGACATCTGCATTTATTTTTCATTTTCTTCCACATTTTCTCAGGGGACGTGACGGAATTCGGCGGAAAAAGCGTTCCAGCGTCAGCCCGATGGTCGCTGTCAGGTTTTTTCCGCATATAATTTTATTTGCGGTACAGTTGTAATAAGGTATAATAGGGTGCAATAAAACGGTCCGATTATTGCATCAGATTGTACCATCTTGTCTTATTACACTGCGTGTAGCTCCAAATTAAATCGATCTATCCGACTGCTTTCACCCGCACCACGTGCACTTTGTGCAGATAAATAGGCCTGTTCGTTTTGTCTGCATTGCTAAACTGGTGCAACAAGTTGAAGTGAGAAAACCTACATTTATCTCACTTTAACTTAACGCACCAGTTTAGCAGTGCAGACAAAACGAACAGGCCTAATAGTTCCACTACGGAAAAAAATGAATCACCGCGATTGGTCGACTCAGCTTCTCGAGTATCCCGCTTGTGGCGTTGTTCGCAGTTGCATTCGTATTTAGTTATGGCGCCGGATTACGGGTTGTATTGTGTGCGAGAAACCATCGCCCGTGATTTCTTGTGATTTTGACTCGCTGTAGCTGAGTCTCGTGCCTTAAATCGTTACCGGAGATTGCCGAAAGTAAGTTTTGCGCGTGTGTTATGGCGGAATGATGTTCGTTCCGCCGCGCGAAGCGAAGTGAGATGAATCGTCGGAATGCCGAGGAAAGTTCAACGCGGCAGCTGCATAAGGGCAGCTCGGTTTTCATGTCGCGGAGCTTCGTTTTCGACTAGTCAGCCGAGTCTCGGCCGCGAATTATCGTTAAACATCGAGGTATGGCATAGCTTTCGTTAAATATTCATTGAAAATGTGCACTGTTCGTCGGGAGAGTCGAGTATAAAGTTTCGGGAATTTTTTCTGTCATGTCCGACTTCTTGGAGTATTTTAAACGGAACGGACGGTTTCGAACAGAATATTTTGATTGGCTAAGTACGCTGGTGATACGTATTCACCGACATACGCACACATTGAAAATCGCGACCGTTGTATTGCAACGCTTAGTACGTGAATTCCAAAAGGCGATTGTACGTATTTTCCGCGATTTTGAATTACCAAAAACGAATATCGGCGTGTACTGTTTCGTCGAGAGTACCGAAAGCAAATTTCGTGCATGGCGAAGTATCGTCAAAAATAGTCGAAAGTAACAAAACTAACGAAACCGGATCGTCGGGAGTGAAATTACGCGCGTTTGTTGCTTAAGATTTGTGTTGTGATTAAGTGTTGTGAAAAAGAATGGCCTGTTATTGTGCAAAGTTAAATTTAGTGTTTATGTTGTGAAAAATATTAAGTGCCCGAGGATATATTTTGCAAGGAGGGACATCAGGAATCATCGAGGGGTAAGTTTATTTTATCTACATCACGCTATAACAATTCGGAGTTGCTTGTCTCGCGATATTACGTTTTTTTATCTTGCGATGAAAAAATTATCCAATGGAAAAATTGATGAGGCTGATCATGGTTGTGAAACGAAACATAAAAATCTCACCTAAATATTTTGAAACAATACATTTAATGTTTATTGATATTTCTTAATAGTTTCTTCTTTTCTTTCATTCTTAATAGTTCATCACATTTTACATCTTAATCGCATTTTATTAACCCATTGTGAATGAGCAAACGTTCAACTCGAAAGCATCATTTTTTCCACGAGTCCGCTCGCAGGTCTCTACGATTTTTAGAACTCACTGCCCGTGTAAATGCCTCGTCGATTCCTGGAATTCACGTTGCCGCGCGCTTACCCAGATGACGTGTCGTAGCGAACCATATATGTACTTCCCCAAATGTTTACTTATTTTTTACGCTATCCGAAAAGCTATTGGGTGTACAAATTAGTTCGGTCCATTTTCAAAAGATGGCTCCGGCTGTTATGAATGGTTTATAGTGACTGCCGATTTTGGCGGTTTCAGAGAGGTTAGACATCTGCCAATAATATTCAGTTTATATCGCTTTGAGTTTCATACAAAAACCTTGCTTTTTACAGTGTTGAAAATGTCGAATTTTGTGTTAACCAAGCAGCATTTGCGGGAGGTTTTAATTTTCTGCTTTAATTGGAAGAAAAGTGCAGCTGAAGCCCATCGAATGCTTGTTGAAGTTTATGGTGACGCTGCTCCAACTGATAAATCATGAAGGGAATGGTTTCGACGTTTCAAGGATGGAGATTTCAGCGTCGAAGACAAGCCTCGTTCTGGACAGCCAAAAACATTCGAGGACAAAGAATTAGAGGCATTACTCGAAGAAGAGCAGAGTCAAACGCAAGAGGAGCTTGCAGAATCATTGGGAGTGACTCAACAAGCCGTTTCCGTACGATTGAGAGACATGAGAATTATTCAAAAACAAGGAAATTGGGTGCCTTATGAACTGAAACCGAGAGACGTTGAAAGGCGTTCTTCGTGACAACGCTCGGCCTCATGTCGTAAAAGTCATAAAAAAATATTTGGAAACGCTCAAATGGGATGTTTTACCGCACCCGCTGTATTCTCCGGACATTGCTCCTTCTGATTACTGGTTGTTCCGAAGGATGCAGCACGATTTGGCAGATCACCGGTTCACTTTTTTCGCAGAAATCGAGAATTGGCTCCAAACTTGGATCGCCTCAAAAGACGAGTCATTTTTTTTAGATGGAATTCGAAAATTGCCTGAAAAATGGGAGAAAGTAGTAGCCAGCGATGGAAAATACTTTAATTGATCTGTTCATTCATTTTGTTTTGAAATAAATATATCTTTTAACACAAAAAAATGGACCGAACTAATTTGTACTCCCAATATAAAATTAATCTGGATTTTAGGAAAATTAGTCATACTGCCTTAAAATTGAATAGCATCATTTCTTTCGATTAGTATAAATATTTTCATGACGTATATATTGATCTATCAGTTTTCTCTACATTAATTTCAACATTTCGGACTTCATAATTCTGTAACGTTGGACTGATTTGGAATCTACGGATCATCGTTATTTCCAATTTAAGATTAGCTTCTTATTGCACACGATTTATTAATTTATGCTTGGTAACCCATCATTTTCACGTCGATCAATCTAGACATATCGGCTTCAAATTCTCCATAACGTATAGGCGCACGTTGTTGCAATTGGTGAGAATCTTAGTTATTTTGGACCTAGATTAAAACCTTATCGTTCATATTTCGTTAATTAATATTTCGTAACCTGTCATTTCCGAACCTGTCACTTTTCAATATTTCGTGGCCTTTAACTCCGAAACGCATAATCGCAACTCGATGCGGTTTACGAGGATCATAATTATTTTGGATTTAGATTGATTAAAACCTTATCACCCATATTTCAATAATTAATATTTCATGGCAGGTTATTTCCGAGCCTGTCACTTTTCCATCTTTTGTGGCCTCTATAATTCCGAAACGTGTAATCGCATTTCGACACGGTTGGTTCGGATCATCCTTATTTTGAATCTAGATTATTATCTTATCGCAAATAATTTTGCAGCTTATATCCGCCGAGACAGCACACAGATGTCTATTGGACGTCCGTTATATGTCCATTTTTTTTTACAAAAGACGTCCATAGGACATACGTTTGTTACAACTTCGGACATCGGACATCGAGTATCCGATCCGCGATGAATGTATATCGGACGTCCTACAGGTCCGATGTTCAATAAGGACACCCTTGTTACGTCCAATTTATGTCCACGGACGTAAATCAGACATACGGACATAAATTGGACGTGAAACGTACATCCACTGGATGTCCGGTGCTGTCTGGGCGGTGCTCGTCATTTTCGCACCGGTCGATCTTGACCTATCGGCTTCAATTTCTCGTTAACGTATATCCAAACAGTACAATGTTCAAAACTGGGACATAAGACGTCTTTAAGACGTCTTTAAGACGACTTAAAGATGTCTTATTTTCAGACATCTTAAAGACGACTTAAAGATGTCTTAAAGACGTCTTATGTCCCAGTTTTGGACATATGTGCGGTCTAGGGTAGGCGCATGTCGTTGCAATTTATGAGGATCTTAGTTATTTTGGATCTAGATTAAAACCTTATCACTCATATTTCGTTAATCAATATTTGATGACTCGTCATTTCCGGGCCTGTCACTTTTCAAATTTTCGTGACTTCTTCAAAACGTGCGATCACAATTCGATGCGGTTTGCTCGGGTCATCCTTATTTCGAATCTAGATTAACTAGATTAATTTTATCACAAATGATTATCACAAGTAATTAATTTATAATCGGTGACCTTTCATTTTCGCATTGGTTTCGGGAAAAAAGTGAAAAAATTGAATAAAAAATGAAAAAATTGAATATAAAAATTATAAAAATGGCCACCCCCATTATATGTATATAGCGTCATTTTATGTCATTGCTAAAAGTTTTTCGCGCGGTCTCGAAATATGTCTTCTCGAATTGTGGGCAGTGCGTTGCGGTAAAGATGAGAAGGTGAAGGGGCAAGACGGGAGAGATTTTGCGTTTAGCGATAAGATCTGCCGCTGATTCTCCTCGTGTCTTCTCCTGCCGCGCATACACTCATCGGTGGTGCGACAAAGACGGAGACTGGTCGTCCGTGCTTACCATCTAACTTACCATCCGTTGTAAGGGGAAGTAGAGTGAACAAGAACCGTGCACGCTTTGCCGTTACCGTCAGGACGAATGTAGTGTGCACACATTTTCTCAGGGGGCGCGTCGGAATTCGGCAGAAAAAGCGTCCCGGTGTAATCGGTTCGGTGGCCGCTTTCAGGTTTCTCTCTGGTTAGAGTGAGAAAAAATATAGTTATCTCGGTCTAATTTATTGCACCAGTTCAACAGTACAGCTGAAAAGACCAGAGTTTTGTTTTTACTTTTCGTAATCGTTGACTGGCGTAGGAGCTAGAGTGTAACAGCTTTGCTCAGAGCCACTTATTGAACCAGAATCAGAATAAAAAGAACAGATTATTTGACAGTGTGAAGTTTCATCCGTGTCAGTAGAGGTTATCCACTTACGTGTTGTGCGCGTATTCCACAAAAGGATATCGTTCCACGTAAAATGGAAAATATATAACGGAAAAAAATATGCAATTGTGTTACATTGTATTAAATATACTGAAAACACTATATAATGAAAACACTATATAATGTCAAAAGAGTAATGAATTGGTCAAGTTTTTGATTGGTCACTAATTTGAGATTAGAATTTCTTTCTTCTGTAAAGTGTGCTTTATGAGATTGAATATTTATCACTTATTGCGTTTCTTTTTTCATTTTTCTTCTTAGTTCTATGCGGAACAATATCTTAAGTTTTACATTTTTTTGGTACAACCAGTTTTACATGTTCCTGTAAACCTTAACTTGGGATTTATAGCATCGGATAATTGATCTGGGTAATTTACGATGAGTATGTTAATTGTTATTAAAATATACTTGTGGCACAATAAGTATTTGATATATGTATATATTTAAAATAAAGATTATATATTTACAGAACCCAAAACAAAATTTTGTCAAGGTAAAGATGTTCTTGAACGAATGAATTACTTATACCAGGTATATATATTTATAATGCAAATTGTGACTGTTTATCGTAATTTGTACAAATAATATTAGAGATATTTGAATGTTTTGTTTCTCTGGTGATCACCACTTGTGCGTATATTATTCTGTAATAGTTGCTTTCTTTACTAAACTTATTAAATTGATGTGATAAGCTAGAAGTATCAATGTCACTGTTACCGCTTTAAGTAGATATTTTGTCATTAGGCTAGCCATCTGATGGCATTAAAAAACAAGGGTATGTCGTCTTACTATGGGAACATGATGATAGGTTGTGCTAGAAAAGCAGTATTACGTATGTAAGTTCACATATAGAATTTATAAGATTTTTGAAAAAATATAAATATTTTGTAGAGTATGCGTGTGTATGTAGATTATTAATTTTTGTAGGGAACCAAATCTAAAGAGAACCTTGTGTAAATGTTGCCAAACTCCACTTATACCTGGAGAAACAGCTAGAGTTAGATTAATTTCAAAGCCTGTCAAAGGTATTAAATGGACATGTCTAACTTGTATGAACGCTAAACAGTTCCCCACAAGAAAAGGACATAAATTGTGGCTCGATGAGCCACAGGCAGTCAGTGAGACGCTTGACTATACACCAGAATCAAAGAAGGAAAATGTTCGGCAGTCAGATCTGCTGGAAAAGACTGAGGAGATGTGTAAAGAAACAGGATGAATGAAATAAGATAAAATATTAAATGCAGTCGCTTAATTTTTAACGTAATTTAGTAGTCATTCAACTTTAACGTGAAGCAATTTAAGACAAGAATTGGTGTACGAATATTTTTTATTAATGACTTACATAAAATATGTTACAATATTACAATAAATTTGTAATTAATAAACAGAGAGACTTTTGCGCTAACTGGTATATTCGTAACCATCTAGTAATATCATGATACCGATAATGGTTTTACATTAAATGTTCTTAGAAATAACTTGATATCGTAAGTTTACGTTACTGTTATTTCGAGTAGTTGCGATATATTCTTTACGACAAGTTCGTTCGCAGAGAATTCTCGATGGTCACGATCTCAGTTCTCAGCCGAGGACGGTTTGAGGGAGATGTTGTACACGCAACATCGAACGTTGACACGTTGAATTCTCTCACGAAGGCAAAATCGCTTTACCGTGCGACAATGGAATTCGCTACGAAGGTCATCGTTTCGTCTAACTATGATATGACTATGTCCGCCCACCGCCAGTGAGACTCGTGCAAACAATATTACAAGAGTTAACAAATCGCGTTGCACTCAGTGCCTCGGGCGCAATCAAATCACAGTTTAATCGGGAAGAGGAGGGTATCAGTCGTTCATGAAACTCTACCTTAAAACAATAAATATGTACTAGCGACATACGCGTCATGAATAACTTAGAGCGATTATACGTCTTATAATCTTGATGTCGGATGTCCCGTTGTGCGCACAATGGCTCGATCCTTTGCTCGCCGAATGTAGTCTGGCATGGCGTCGCGCGCGCGGATACCGAAACGATTGGCAGTAGTCGTTGTGGAATGTGGTAGAGTTCTACCTAACGCAAGACGTTCCAATGTCACCTTCGACGCGTTTTAAACACGTTCGAAAATGCGCGAAAGACGCTACAGGAGAGTTCCCGAGCACATACAGGGTGGCCTCAGAACGTCTTGTGCTATGCTACGTAGGATATAAAGTGCGCTCACAAACGCACGTGTTGGAACGCATTACGTTTACAACGTACCTCGGAGAGAGAAACGCATATAATAACACACGTAAAAAATACTAGACTCTAACGAAGAAATATAATAGTAACAATATGAAAACTGGGCTGGACGGAATCTACACATTCACTTATATACATATATCTGTCGTGCCAAGCTTCGGTCGTGTCGAGCTATCTCACAGTGCCTATTTTCTTTTACCTAGCGCGTTATATTCTTTCTCTCTTTCTCTTGCCCCTCTCTTCCTTTTTTGTTTTGATTCTCCTAAAAAGTAGATCCAACAATAAAGTCAGACAGACGGGACCCCAGGTTGGCAACGTACACATATATACATGCAAACACCAGCTACAGGGATTTTTTTTTTTTTCTTTTTAATTACTCCATTAATATTGACTGTCGTTCGTCGTCACTCTTCATCTTGAGTCTTTCGCGCACAAGCTCTCTCGGTGGGAAGAGTTCGAACTGTGAAATGACAAGGAGTCACACGCACACGCACACGTTCAAGGGGCGGCGAGAGTCATCATCGGCCATGGAAATGTGCCGTTATATGTGTGTGTTGCTCTTCTCGTACACGCGTCTACTCGCAAGACAAACCCGACCATATTAATCCGGTTATTGTCAATGAGGTGTGTGCATGCGAGTCGCCCGAGAGTTCGCTTCGGGGAGGCGCGCGCGCGTGCAGTAGAAAAGAGCCGCGGACAAAGAGGTACAACGTACGGCGACGGAGCGATTGTTTAGAGATAGAAAGAGGGAAGGAGCGGCAGGGCTCTGAAGGTGTGTGCTCTGTGTACCGGAGAGCAGTCGATTTATACTAGCCCCGAGACGAATTGGGGTTGGCCGTCGCGGTCGAGCGTGAGCTGCGGCATTACATTCGGAGAGGGCTGGAACGTTGATCCTTGGAAACCCATTGCCGATTCGTATAACTGAAGAAATGCAAGAAGAAGTGACGTTCGGATTAGAGACGACGACACATGTGCAGGCTACTAATAAACAATGAACGATAGATTAAGAGATTAAAGAGAGAATTAAAGCTATAAAAGGAGATTAAGACTCTCTGTGCCGCGAGGGCAGATCACAGTGTAAGAAAAACGAAGTGGCAAAATATAAAAGTACAAAGTTGAAAGCAGAAAAATTCCTGATGCGCGAGCGAACTCGCTCGCGATGAGAGGAAGCGAGCGCGTTAGCGGGCTGAAATCTCGCCGATTGCAATTATTATTCGTGCCTGCGCCGTACATTATGATTTCCCGGTAGCGTCGTGTAGTCCGGTGTGGTCGGACGATGCCTGTTCGCCGGCAACGGATGCTGTATCGTGGCGTACGTGTTGTCCTGAGATGTGTCGCCCATGCCGACGCTCACGCCACTGCCGCGTCTTTCGTCGCCGAGGCCGCTGTCAGGCTCGCTGAACACCTGCATCGTTAGCTCCTGCTCCTCGTACAGCTTCAATTTCCTACGAATGATGAAGAAACGGTGAGGCACGCACTGTCGCATGTAATGGCAATTACCTCGGAACCGGAATGGAAAAGCGATACCCACTGCTCGATCCACAAAGGGTTCTCCGTCGTATTCAGTTCATCGATGATCTGCTTCTTGATTAGGCCGTCCTTCTTGCGTATATCATTTGGTACAGTTATTACCCTGAAACACCGTTGAACGTCGATGTTGGCTTATTCCGGACGCACGGCGAAGTGGAACTTGGACTAAACGCGCCTTTCTTATTCCTAGTTTCAGCTTCTCATATGAATGTTGTTTCGACTTGAGAGAGTCGGCGGCGGAAAGGCGAATTTAGCGTTCGCTAAATGCTCCTTTTGGGAGTCTAAATGTCTCTCTCTCTCTCTCTCTCTAAAGCATAGAATTTCTAATCCAAAGTCTTTCTAAGTCACTATACTTACCAATGACGTAAACAACAACAAACTACTGTAACGGTGACCGCTCCCACGAGTAAAACGACCAAAAGAGCTATCAGAGCAGCAAGCGCAGGGTCAAACGGTTCCTCCGGAACTCCGGCATACGCAGGCTGGAACGAGCGATAACATCGTCGAACTGATCTCAATTGGTCTCAAGTGAATCAGGTGCGACTTTATTTTGCGCTTGTGCGTCGCTCTGAATAACTCGAGCAATGTTTGCTATATTTTCTCCGATTTTTTTTATTCGCACTTTATAGGCGATTTTATTCCATAGGATTTTCGCGAAACCACCAAGTGGTCGGACTTCAGAAATAATGATCTCTAAATTTCAGACACGCGCTACTCACCACAACATTCTCTATGGCAAATCCGGCGTAATAGTGCTTCAAGAAGTCGTACTTTGCGTCGATAACTTTGAGCACGTGAGGAATTGGCGCGATGGTTTGAGTCTTCGGTTCCACAACGTGCAAATACATGTCACACCTATAAAAACGAATTTCACGTGCGATATAATAACGTATACCAAATCAATATCAAATGGAAATCTGGAAAAGGAAAGGAGGATGATTCACGCGTGTAATTACCATTCCCTGCGTATGTGTCCAGACGCGTCAACGTGGTACCTGATGTCATCCACTACGACTCTGCTTTGTGTAGCATTCGACAATTCCGAGACGATCTCGTCGCGTTCGCTGTTCACCTCCTCTGGAGGCCGAGACAGTATGACTCGTATTAACTGAGACGGTTCAAATACCCACACCTTAAAGCAAAGTGAAACCTTGATTTATTGAATCGCGAAAGTGGAGGGAATAAAATTTATATCCATTTTAAAAATATATAATAAATGTATATAATATACACAGGATGTTTGGTAATTCATGTGTTCAGCTATAGCCAATGGGGACATAGACTTAATTAAGACAAACATAAAAAAATCCTGCGACCATTTTGCGATATTCGCTGCGATATTTATCGAGTTATTATCTATAATTAATAATAACTCAATAATTATCGCGAAAATCGCAAAACGGTATGAGACTTTAACGCTTGTTTTAATTAGTTCTATGCCTCCATTGGCTACGAGTTATCAAACACCCGGTATATATACTTGTTTTCCATTAACCGACTTCTGAACCGTAGAGAACTTACATGAACCCTAGTCATCGCGTATCTCTCTGGAATAGCTGTCTCCTTAGCGATGACGTTAACGATAAATCTGTCCTGATTGTATTCCGCCATGTATCCGCTTGTAACAAGCTTGCCGTCCTGCGTGACATTGAACGGGCTCGGCACTATCGAGCCGCTCGGCTTGTCCGACCCGTATTTGTAAAGATTCGCGCTGGAGACGTAGTAATGCAAGGTGCCATTGTCGCCAATGTCCAGATCGGATGCGGTCACTTTGGTCACGAAGTCGTTTATGTTCGCCATGGAGTTCACACCGGCGTAATAGTCGTTGCGCTCGAAAATCGGCGGATTGTCGTTCTCGTCCAGCACGACTATCGTTACATTTGCGTGCCCGTGCTCCGGATTGCGCGTCAATGGCCGGCTGGACTGTGCGGGGTTGACGTAGAGATCGGGATCGTTGGACGCGAGAATGGAGAGAACGTACTTGTCCCTCGTCTCGCGATCGAACGATTTATTCGCATAAATGCTGCCGTCAGACTTATCCATGTAAAACGCGTATCCTTCGTTCCCTGATAACGTTCACATAGTCCATCAAGATTGTGTCCCTTGCGCTTATGTGGCGATACAATCTGAATTTTGGTAAGCCTCAAAATGTTTTTAACCGTTGAGAATCAAAGTGGACGACATCCAAATTAATTGTGACCTTCTTGGTAAAATTTTCATGATCCTTTAGCGTACATCAATGAATCTCGTGCAATTTTATTGTTGCAAGAATTTCGAGGCACTTTGTGATATTGTTGTTGCGATATACTTACCAGATTCTATATAATAGTAAATCTTGGCGTGCCTGCCTTCGTCCTTGTCCTCCGCCGTTACCTTGCCAATGAAATAGTCCTTCGGGCGGTTCTCCGACACGTGGAAATTATATTCCTCGTAAAACTGCGGCACGTTATCGTTTGTGTCGACTAATTGAACTGTTAACAGCCGAAGAGTCTCGTACGCGGTAGGACTGCCATGATCGGTTGCCACCAAGACAAGCTGAGGGATGATTCAAATAAGCCTCATAGCGGTGTTCCTCGTTAGACAATTACCTCTCGTCACTCACCTCGAATTTACTCTTGATCTCGCGGTCGAGGATGATTTTTG